TTTTTTTAAAGAATGTCTGCTACATATCGTTTACAGAATGTAAACCCCAAAACAGTAGTTATTGAAATTTTTGTCTGTTTGTCTGTATCTGTGTACATATCACGCAAAAAGTACTGAAACGATTTTAACTAAATTTTGTGTAGTGATAACTCATTACAAGGTAAACACAATAACTGGTTCTATCGAGTCGTTCTTAGTTTACATGGCTAATGCTGGCTAAACCTTAAGAGTACCATGAAAATAATGTACTAGAAAATTATAGATCTTAAAAAGGCCGACAGAAAAGTCCCCAACAGCATAATCCTATCTCCTAAGTTAAACTCGCAATATATATTTTTATCTATTTAAAATGTACCCAGAGAAGCACTCAGGCGAAACCAGGGTAAGTAGCTAGTCAATTTATAAAAGAAAATAAGCAAATTAATTTGCTTATTTCAAATAAACATCATTTCCGTAAACGTCAAAGTTATTTTAATTACTTCTTCAACTGTAGAGCAATTTTGGCAAATAATGCCTAAATTAATTATTTTCGAATATCATGTGAATAAGGCTGCCAACAAAACCTGACGTCCTCAAACCTTGAGTCAACGTTTTAGATTAATTTTCATGTTCCCCTGCTAATGTTACATTAGCTAAAGTTTGATTAGACACTGTAAAGTACACTGTAAACCTCTACAATTTTAGCTCATTTAGTGGATTTTGATGAGTGTATATACATTAAATTGATCGATATAAAAATTCCGACACCCCTTATGATGTAATGAAAAAATGTGAGTTTTTTTTTTATTAAAAACAAAACGTGCCGCAAGACGATCATTTCAATATAATAGGTATACGACATTACACATACAATGTAAAAAGTATATTAAGCCACTAGATAACATATCGATATGAAAACTTGGGAAATTATAAAGATATAATATTTATTACTTCTATTCTATCAGCTTTACTTACATGCAATTAACAAAATATGTGTGACGATTGGTGAGGTTCTCAAAACGGAGTTCAGCGGCGAATACGACCTGTTATTTTTTTATTATTTTAATATTATAAAAAAATTGGGTATTTATCGCAAACTCACGGTTACACAGAGATATTTTTAGTTATTGCGCAATATCTAAATAGTATAAGCCCTGCTCTAAACGAAAGCTCGTAGGAAATGTAAACAATAATATAGGTACACGTATGTACATATGTGTGTGTGTGTAATGTATACGTTTATAAACTTATACAGATCTGTGTTTTGAAAATAATTTTACGATATAAGTAAAGCTAAAATGATTCAATATTTGCCTACTAACTCACACAAGGTAGTGGTAGCCCAGTGGTAACGCGCTTACTTGGGAAACCGAGTAAAGCGGGTTCAAATCCCGTGTCTTGCACCTCTGATATTTTCATGTGCGAATCATTTCTAGCATGATTACCACTTGCCCTACCGTGAAGGAAAACATAGTGAGGAAACCTGCATGTCTGAGAGAACCTAGCAAGTTTTCGAAAGACATGTGAAGTCCGCCAACCCGCACTTGACCAGCGTGGTGGACTATGGATCTCCCTCGTATTGAAGAGAGGCCCGTGCTCAGCTGTGAGACGTTAAAAAGGGCTGAATACATACATACATACTAACTAATATATGCTAAAAAATATTATTTCTATTATATATAACTACGTATTTTACAAAAATATAAATTATTTAAGTATTTAGTCATTACAGGTATTCTCAAAGGCTACAAGCAACAAATTCCTAATGTTTTCAACGTAATACAAGGAAAATGTCGTTGAAGCTGTAGCAAGAAATTCTTTATTTATAAACCCTTTCATAAATGGAATCTAAAATATTATAAAGGGCAAATTGTTCTCTGGTAGCGCGTCGAGCATCAGGTGTACACTATTCTGAGATCGTTATATAAGTAAGATCATCCCTCATTTTCTCATTTATTTACTCAAAGAAAAGTATTTTATACTGTTACAGATTTTTATCTTCTAATATCTATACATATAATCTATACATATTATAAAATTCTGAGTCGAATCTGTACATTATGTATCTTTTTTTAGGAAAATTTTATTGAAATAGTTATTATTATCGATACATAGGCCGAATTTATAGTTTTTAGAATCTGTATTTCGGTCTGGAAATACATAACGAGAAAACCACTGAACAGATTTTGATGAAATTGGGTATGATGATAGCTGGTTATCCGGATCAATATGTAGAATACTTTTTAATGCGGGAAAATATCTCATCTCTGAGAAATGTTTCGTAACCGTTAAAATATATATATCTAGGGACAGGATAATTATAAATTACTAGCGGCTCACCCTCGCTTCGCTCGCCTCTAGAAAAGCACAAACAAATCTATCCCACGGGAACCGTTCATTTTTCCGAGATAAAAAGTAACCTGGTATTTTAGAGACAATATAAGATAATCAGCATGCCAAATTTTACTAAATTAGGTGCATAAGTTGATGTGTACTAAGTTGTATAAGTTACTATAGGTTTTTAACTGTCCCACGGGAACTCTTTAATTTTCCGGGATAAAAAGTATCTAAAATGTTTATTAGAGATATAACGTACCACTATGCAAAATTTGATTTAAATGGGTGTAACAGTTTCGGAGATTACTCCGTACAAAGAAACAGATAAATAGACAAACAGACAGAGAAACAAAAAAATTGAAAAAAACCTGGAGTTGTTCTATTTCTCTTCTTACATCCCCTTGACTCAGTTATTTATATATATAGTCAAGGCTAACTTTAAAATCTGACTTAAAAGTTTTTTGTGTAATAATCCAACTTATGGGAAACATACAGATACATGATAAGTTGCTTTTTTATAGTAAATGGGGCCAACTAGCTAACGTTGTTTTCGAAAAATCTGACGATATAAGCCACATACGAACTAACTCAAAGTGCCTAAGATTGTGTACGGTGTTTATTTACAATAGGAACTAACTGCATAAAAGCAGTGCGGGGCGGCTGCACTGCCTAGCTCCTTCGTCGTAAACTTACGCTAAATAACATCCAGGCACCTCAGTCTAGATTGCTCTAGTACTTACTGCTTGTTAATGTCCAGGCCACGATATTTGATATCACAGATCACATAATACTATACTAGTTAGATCTTGAACTTATCGTTTGTTATTTGCCAGAACATATATTTTGTTTTGACTCAAAGTGACGTTACAGAACCTCTCGGCAGGTTTCGCCACAACTTTATATACAACTAGCAGAACCCGCGGCTTCGCTCGCATTAAAACTACATTTTTTTCTACAAACTTTCATCCCCTATTTTACCCCCTTATATGATGAATTTCGAAAAATGCTAAAACACGTATTTATTTATTTTAATTGAAGCATTCATATCAAGTTTCAAGTAATTCTGATCATAATTTTTTTGTTTGGATTATACTATAACGTGTTTTTCCGTGGGCATTGGATAATGTCCCACGGTAAAAAGTAGCCTATATCTCCAGCCCTCTAACTATCTCCACACAAAAAATCACGCGAATCCGTCACTCCCTTTCAACGTGAAAGAAGGACAAACGAACAAACACATTTTTTCACATTTATAATATTAGCATGGACTAGATACAAGGTTAACAAAAGTATTATAAAACAGAAACTGTTTATAGTGTTTATGTTTGTACCAACTTTTAATTTATTTATAAAGCACAAATGGTCACTTCAAACTTACCGAACCCTTCGCTAAAAAGTTTTATACTAAAACCATTTATATCCGGATTCGTACCGCTTTTAGTGAGTAACAAGTTATGAGGAGACTCTCTAAAAACATTTACTTTTCCTTCCATTACACAAAATTAATTTCGGTTTCAAATTGTCCGCTCATCTGGAATGCTTTTTGTTTGACGTCGACTTGTTTGTTACGACAAATTTTTCATCATGAAATGTGAATGCAGCCTCGTTTAATATAACATTTGTCATAAACTCCACCTTTATTACTTTTTTAAGAGCGCCTTATATAAATAATCGATGGTAATATATTTTCATTTTGTTTTTTATAAGTCTTATTATATTTATTCGTAAGTTACTTATGTTTGATATAAATTATACTATTGTAATGTAACTTAATTCTGATTAAAGTTTACATACATAAAGTGATTGGCACTGGCTATTAGGTAAGAGATCGCGGATTGAATTCCACCACGCTGTTTAATATATTGTAAATACTCAGTTTTAATAGCGAAAAGTGGGCGAAGTCAGGGTAACCGTCCCTCGCACATATTTGTTATTTATTTTTGTTTACTCCTAAACCGTGATGCTAATAACATATTTGTAAGTACATAGTATTCCGTTTATAAAATTTCTTAAAACTCCTTACTAATAATTGCCTTTCATGTTTTATCAATAGCTAGCAATTATCGGACTACAATTATTACAATTTTCGCAGATTTATCTGTCTCGCGGTCTCTCCTGTAACTGTGACCTGTTTAAGACCTACAATTTTCTAGTAAGTAATTTGTATGTACAGATTTCGCTTTGTTACTATTTTATTATACGTACATATATTTATAAATGTCAAATATATGTACAAATCTAACAAAGTATTTCTAAATAATTTTTCTTGTTTACGAAATCATTTTTATAATAATTGGTATATAATTTAAAATTCTAAAACTGATGTTTTCTAGTCATGTGTTGTGCAGTCCACCAACTCGCACTTGGCCAGCGTGGTGGACTATGGCATGATCCCCTTCGTATTGACGGGAGGCCCAGCAGTGGGACGTCAAAAAGGGCTGAATACAACTAAAACTGCATAATTTTAAATGATATTCGAGGTGTTAAACAAATAAAACAAATATTTGGAAAAATAATCTATATTTTATTTTATTTCTTATTTCATTAAGTATTTTACAAATATTTTATTTTACATATACAAATCAACTTTTAACATAATATCGTAAGATATTAATATAGAAAATATTTTTCATATACTACAAAAACGATAGTAATAAGAGACCACATTATATGAAATTATTTTAAGACAAATCGCGCAACTCAAGCCACGAAACTCGATAAACTGGTGCAAAATCTGATAGCATGCTAGCAGGTGGCTCGCTTTCCTGTCGATGTGCAGATGTAGCGTCAAACAGTGGGATAGTGTCACTATTTCTTTTCTTAAACTTATAGCCAACAACACAAGAAAACACGCATAAAAATATCCCAAATAGCACTCCACTCCACCACCATATTATCTCGTGTTCGTGTGAAGCATCGTCTGCAGTAACATCTATCTTACACCAATCGTTACAAATATATGCGTGGACCAATGTTGAAGAGCAAACGCGTACAAAATATTTAGTGGCTTTATTAGATTTTACAATCAAATTAGTTTTATTTCCAGGGACACACCAAGATTGTAACATCACGTATTTCATATCACTCGACTTTTGATTCATAATATTGGGATATACTTCTATTGTGTAAGAAAGGATGGGACCATTTGTTATTTTTGGCGAATTCCATCCAACAAAAATATATCCAGATATATTAGCGCTTAACGTCATATTATACGGTAGATCAGCTATATTCGAATGTAATGTCCTAACTGTGCCTCTAGCTGATCGACTGCATGCGTCTTTCGTACAAGCACGTAAACTAAATTTATAATCTCTAAATGGTGATAGACCACCAACTTGGTATTTTTTCTTTCGGCCATTTATATCTAAAGCTAAAGTTTTAATTAACCCATTAGAACTACAGTTTTTGGGACGATCTGATTCACTATTACAGTCCTTAAAAGTGTCGCATATTTCAAAATGATCTTCAACCATCGCTCCTATGGTAACAGAAGATAAAACTCCACACATAGATTCACAGCCTTTCTCATAATTTCTTGGTGGACGCATTACTTTAGCATGACGTGAAAAATCTATATCATACAAATCATCGTCCCTACTTACACAATGATCTCTTGCAATAATATACTTATCGAGAATATCTACTAAAATAACATCTAATTCGTAGCGTATTATATCATTTCTATAATCTAAATGATCGACCCATCTAATAACAATCACACTAGATGAAGATGCAACTAATTCTAAAATGAAAGGTGGCTCTGGTTTTCCAACTAAAGTTCTGAACTTAATAATATTACTTCTAGATAAATGCCTAGTTGTGGGTTCATACTGTTCAATACAAATCGCATAATTGGAGGCTGGACGCAGGTGTTGTAAGGCAACTTCAACAATATTTCTAGTTGTATCAAACACATTGATAGCGAACCATTCAAAGTCGCTACAACTTTCTGGTACAACACTCGAGTTTATTCCTTGAGGTATCCTTACGTATAGTACTGTGTAGTGTACATCTTTAGCTAATGGATGAAAAGTCGCAATTGCCGATGTTTCATTCATTTCTTTTATTTTTAAATGGAGAGATACAGAATTGCAGACTCCGCTGTAACCGTTCATGCCTTGTGGTATATCAAGTTTGGTGGGTGCAGTTGGGAATAAATTTATTAATTTGTTTATTTCTTGCATACAAAGCATAGGGTTTCTGTAAAACCTTAATGTTCCTCTATCCACTTTAAGTTTTTGAGTAACATTAGATACGAAAAGAGTCTGAAGATTGTGCATATTATAAACTAGTAAGCTATATTTATTATTAAACAAACGCTGACCTCTTATACGTTGTAATGATGATAAAAAATCAAGGGAAGTTAAACTAATAGAACTATAAATATGAACATAATCTTTTACTTCGACAATATTCTTTAAATAATACCGTAGCTCGTTGGTCACTCTCGGTATCGACCAAATGTGGATTGTCAGTGAGCCGTTTACATAAACACAATTTTCTGCCGCTTGGATCGATGATAATGACTGTATAGTGAGGTTTCTACAGGTCTGCAACAATGAATTTCGATGTATTACCAAAATAAAATATTGTACAAATACAATAAGATACATAGAAACTAAACAGATTTTCAAAATTCTCCTTCGTAGTAATATAAGATAAGCAATTAACTCTCGCGATCAAGTAAGTATTCAATACCAGTTATATTCGTACTTAATTATTAAATTCAAAAAATAAGAAGTCGGTTTAGATTCACGCGTTTTACACTGATTTTTGATCACTGTCAAAAATCAATGTAAAACGTGACCAGGTTCAATAAAAAGCAAAGAAACCCCTTAAAATGGTGCTATAAATTAATATTAGTTAAAATATAACTAACCTTATGACAATCAAAACAAGGAACACAAGTTATTTGTCCGGAACGCTGCTTTGACTTGTCGTAGTTTATAGGGCATTCAGACACGCATGTGTTATTCCATGCCCAGCGTTCCAAATGCTTACATTCGTCTTTTGTAACACAGTAGTTGCTATCCGTTAATAGTAGACTAAAATATAAAAATATAGAGAGAGGATAAAAAAAATTAAAAATCTATTATAATTTTTGGAGACCCAAAAAACCCACGGAACTAAAGATAGTAATGAAAGAGAAAAATGTTAATATGTATGTTAAAACTATTAAAATTAAATAAAAATTAACTTGATTATTACTTATTATTAAGATCAATGGATCTAAGACTGGTTATATATTGCATGTAACAAAAAGGTTGTAAATAATTTCTTACTCATGCCGTAATATAACCTACGATCTATAACATAAGAAGTCACATACAATTCGAGTCTGACACATAAATACTGTGCCAGAACAATCGTCAAGTAAATTAATATATTAAACAAAGCGGATCTGAGTTAACAAAGATAAATTTACGCAGCGCTCTCAGGATTACTAACGCACTAAAAAGCATAAAATAATTTCTCTTTACTCTGTTATAATAATTAAGTTTCATATGAATATTCATGAAACATATTTCTAAAGTCATTTTATTAGGGTTCCGTAGCCTAAAGGCAAAACGGAATCCTTATAATTTCATGTATGTCTGTCATTATGTATTTATGTTATCGCCATTTTACTCAGAGGCTATTGGAGATAGATTACTAAAATTTGATAAAAAGTTCTCTCATGAGAACCACCAGACAATTTGTAGTTAATTTACCAAAAATAAAAATTTGGGATGGTGAAAAATGACTCCACTTAAGCGTGTTTTTCATCTCTGGATGAGTCATTAAAATTGCGATAGATGATCTAAGCCACTATTTTGTTAAACTAATAATAGCTGAATTACGGCAGATTTTCTTAATATTGAATTCGTATTTTATCTTTTAAATACAGCGCTCAATTAATTGAAACGTTAAGGTCAAGTTTCGAAAGACATGTGAAGTCCGCCAACCCGCACTTGACCAGCGTGGTGGATAATAGCTGAAACCCCTCATATTGAAGGGAGACCCATGCCCAGTAGTGGGGCGTTAAAATGGTCGAATACAAATGTTACATATAAATCAATTTACAACAATATGTGAAGATATCAAAACAAAAAAAAACAACATTTACACGATGTAAAAACTATAGCATATTTTCGAAGTCGGTTAATAATAATTTTATATAGCTTACGTATCGTTTGGGCATCTTGACACGCACTTTTGATTGTAACTAAACTCTCTACATAATGTACAGAGACTAGTGTTAGTGTTGCGACATCCAAAGCATTCGGTGCTGCAATTATAACTTTCTGGTCCTTCGAGGAAGATCTGACACTTTCTGAAAAAAAAATAGTTTTAAAATTTTAAGAAATTTCGATTCGAAATTTCTTGAATGTTGTAAAAGAAAATAAAATATTTATTATAATAAAAAATATATTATTTTATTTTAAAAAATCTAGTCTTGTAATGTGAAAATCAAACCATCATTCACGTATATAAATAAATAAATATGTTGGAACATTAACACACAGCACCATCTAGTTCCATGGTAAGCTATACAAAATTAATTGCTTATTATTTCATTGTGCTAAAACATTAATCACAATCTTGTATCAAACATTAATTATTCATAATCAGTACATAACGTATTATATTATATATAAAATAAATAATTATTTACAAAATAATTAGTAATGAAAAAATGTAATAATTATTATAAAATATATAATTTTAATTATTTAATTAATTTTATTGCCAAATAACTGGTGTTATCGACTTCATCTAAGGTCACCGTTTCGATTTCCTTGTGGGGGATAGAATAGAATTAATATACAGCTTTTTATAGCAATTAATATTTTCTTAGATTAACATGAATATTTTACATTTTAATATTCTCTCCCGAGATCATGATTGCTGTAAAGCATTAAAACTATCGCAAACCAAAAATCAAAATAAATCCGCGAAAAAGTCAGACAAGATAGTTTTATTTGTAGCAATTAATAGTTTTATTCCAGCTAGATTCTGGTCTATACGATCCCTTATTTATTATTCCTTATTTCCGGGGTAAAAAGTATCCCATGCCCTTCCCAGGGTCTCAAACTATCTTCTTACCTAATTTCATCTAAATCGGTTTAGTAGATCCAGAGATGACCCCCTACAACGTCAACAACTGACAATCTCACAAACTCACAAACTTTACCTCTTTATAATATTAGTATAGATTAGCAAGCAGGGCTGAGAAAAACTTTACATCATACCAGTATCAGCTGAAGATGGCATAACTATTAATTTTAATCAATTACGGCCTTTATAGTAGTTTACAGCTTACATACTAATTTACAAACATTTTAATTATTTTTATAGGTGACAAACGTAAAGAAGGTTTCGAAGGCAATTTTACAATTAACAAGTCATTCGTCTTTCATTAGACACGCTTTTAGATACGTCATTATATTTTTACTTATCTTACTTAAGTCCAAGTTTAACAGACGTAAAATTATACAAAGTTGGCATGAAAAGAGCTTTAAGAAGCCATTTTACGCTGTGACGGATTACTTTGAAATAATATAATGAATGTATATTAAAAAGTTCCTTTTTAAAGTACATATTTATTTTGTTTTATACACTTGTACCTTTGATCTTTGAAGTCGATATATCGTCGAGTATCGTTTAAATACTTTTCATTTGTTAATGGTTACGGGTAAATGGGTAAACTATCAAAAATCGGTCAAGTGCGAGTGGAATTCGCACACGAAGGGTTCCGTATAATCGTACATGTACTTTTTATTAATAAGACTTTTACTCTACATGTATATACTATATTAACTTTTATAATCGATTATGAACGTTAAAAAAATGTTTCTTGTATTTTTATTTTTATTATTTGTTGTTATAGCGGCAATAGAATACATATTTTTTGTGAAAATTTCAACTCTCTACCTACTACGGTTCATGAGATTCAGCTTTCTGACAGACGGATGGATGGATGGACAGCGAAGGGTTATAGTAATAGGGTTCCGTTAGAAACCTTCGTAAGGTAAGGGATCCTAAAAAATAAGTTAAAATTTTATAACTTTAACCAGAGATATAAAATAGCGATACAGTTATAAACTTATCTGTAATTTCCATAAATCAAATCAGTTATTGTTAATTTTATGAATGGTCATTTTGTTAATTAATTCTAAAATTATTTGGTGAACTAAATAATATCATTTCGCTTGATATACTATAATTATTTCTAATTTAGTTAATTTTCATAATAAAATATAACTTATTTATTCATGCGGCTTCACGTGCTAGAATTTAAATAAACATTTTTAAAGTATAAATAGTATTAGAACTGTAATTTTATTAAGCCCTCCAATAAAAGTTTTTCTCAAATATCTTCCATATACAGACAGTGTTCAGTTACACTTTTTTTATATGTATAGATTTAGACCATCTTCATGATTTTTTCTTTTGACGAAAGAGTATGAAGTATCTGACAATAGATAACAATTGGGACAAACATTTTAATATAACATTCAAGTCAGGACAGATAAGTGATCAGGATCACCCATCAAATGGATGAAGCTAACTTTAGCATCACTTTGATTATAATCTCTTTTAAGATTCTTGTTGTATCATGCTATGAGGATTATTGAGATTTACTTAATATATGTATGTAAAATTGTTTAATGTTGAATAAAATAAAGGTATTTTTAGGGTTAGTGATGTAAAAGTAATTAAAATGTATAACTATTTATTATTCAAACAATTTATACTTAGAATTCAATGAGTAAGAAAGCTTAAGATCGTTTCTCTATGGTATAGGTTTCCGTTCCAACATAAAAAGTGTCACCTAAATACACTTCCTCCATTTATCAAAATTGGTCTCAAAAAGCCCAACCCTGGGCTGTTACTGAGGCTTACTATACAGAAAGACTCAAAAACTAAACTTGGCCTGACCCAGGACTCGAACTCAGGACCTCCGGATGTGCAGCCGTACATGCTAGCCACTACACCACCGAGGAAGTTAAATACATATAATATAACACTTACTTATTACTCCAACAGCGATTCGTGGCCAAGTTTCTAGTGCAAGAGCAAGGGAAGTTGCAATGTTTATCCGGTTTGCTGAGAACGTGGCGAGACCCGGGGGCTATCGCATTCCAGTCTATTGTATCCACGTTACATGTAAGAGGACCACCCCATATTATCACTCCACCTCGATCGATTTTCAAAAGACCGTTTAAACTGACCTGGAATTTAAAAATAATGATTATAAACTTCATAACGTGTCACTGTTAAATACGGGTATCCTTTCAATATGAGGATAATTAAATTATAGTGCATGCATTTGGCCAACATCCATGGACAAATGCATGTTGGTGCAGATTGGCGGACTTTACAGGTCTCTCGAAACTAGTAGCACATACTTTAATATTGTTAAGTCTATTGGCACATACTTAAGTTTGTTATATGTATGTACGTGAAGACATCAAAAGTAGCTTAAATCAACGAATTACCAAATAAAGTATCTATTTACAAAAAATATGTTGATTCGTTTTTCTCTTATTTTGTGTAAGAAGAACAAAACCAACAAAATATTTTTGCATGACAATATTAGTAAGTTATTCATGGAACACATTTAATAAGACCACTTCGTAGCCCTTTCTAAAATGGAATATTAAAAAGATAGCTTCATTATTTACATGAAAATAATTAAATTTTATTTACCTTGAAACCATCATGGTATACTTTGAGGCGGTACCCAAACTCTCTAATCTGTTCTCTACTTTACATAAAATTTTAAATGTCTGTAATTTATGTTATTTATATTAATTTGTTTTCTCACAAAACTATAAATCTTCTCCGAATCAGCACGATAAATAATTGCAACAACCCATGTATATTTATCCGAAAAATATACTCAGCATTTGACAGAAAATCAACAAAACATAAAAGGACAATACAACTTTTATATTGAACCTTCTAAGAAGACTTGATCAGTAACAAATTATCTTTGAAATAAATAAGGACATACTTCTCTCAAATCGGGCATGTCGTATACAATCAAAGCGTAGTTATACAAAAGTGTATTTCCCCGAATTCGAGTTAGATTTGGGAACAAATCGCTAAATGTTTCCAACCCAAAAACTCGATAAACCACCATGTAGCCTGTAACCTGTAATAAAATAAGTTACTATGACCATTTTATTTAGGACAGATGAAACACTTAGCATTGATTGGTGACTGAATAATTATTAAATTATTTGAGAATACTTGACAGTAAAATATTTTTATATATATTTAGCACGTAGCTTTACATACAATAGAAAACTATATTTAATATTTTTTATGATACTTTCTAAGATTTAGAAGATTTTTAACTGAAACTTTTGTTTTAGATTTAGTTCTGGAATTTCAAAAAAGTATGTCTGTACATACTTTTTTGAAATTCCAGAACTTTAGTGAAGGGCGAATAACTATAGATATTCACGGTATTCTTTGTCGGATCGAAATGTGCCAAAGTTACGTGGATTTCAAAGAAATACGTACAGTCAAGTAATAGTCTTAAAAAAAAATAAACATTTATCTAAAAAATAAACATATATCTTTAAACGAGCAATTCTTGTATGTATATATATAATCTGAATCTCGAAAACGCCTCCAACGATTTTCATGAAATTTAGTATACACGCGGTTTCGGGGACGATAAATCGATCTAGATTATGTCTTATGTCTGAGAAAACGCGTGTTTTTGAGTTTTCATGCAGTTTTGTTTTGCATTATTCCACGCAAAATATGGTCGGTTATTTGCACGCTCGGGCATAAGCATCGTGGTCCATCTGCCAAGGTGCAAGATCAACAATTACAGGTGTCCAGGTTCGAATCTCGGTCGCATACAAAGTTTTTACTTTTGTTTTTTTTTTAATATTTATTCAAGTTTTTTGTTTAAAAAAAAAGAAAATTGTACTTTAGGCCGAAAACTCCGAGCGAAGCTCGGTAGCCCAGGACTTATTCTATTTATTCCACGTATCCAAAATTCTACTTATCCTATTCTAAGCGGTGCCACGTTTCTTTGCCAAAGCGTGAAAGCAAACATTTACCCGCTACGGTTTTAAGCTCTCCTCACCTCTAAATTCCCACACCACATAACAAAATAAAGCAAATTATAATCAATATATGTATTATGCATAATTTATAAGGATAATTATAAATTGTCACCTTAGATATGACTTATGATTTATAATTGATAAAATTCAATTATTTTATTATGAATTGATCAATAAAAACTAACCACGATATGGTCTCAATTGACATCAATAATTCAAACCCGTACATGGTTAAGACACTGTCAATTCGCTGACCATCGCTTTATTAAGTGAACTTTATCTATACCTACTTACCTATAATAAAATCTTTCTGTACATTAAATATTTGTTGGAAAATCTTTTTGAAATAGTTATTATTATCGATACAGAGTACAAATCTATAGTTTTTAGAATTTTTGTCTGCCTGTTTGTCTATCTGTCTGTGACCACGAGAAAACCACTGGACAGATTTTGATGAAATTTGGTTTGACGATAGCTGGTTATCCGGGTCAATATATAGGACACTTTTTACTGCGGGAAAATATCTCATCTCTGAGAAATCTATACTAAACGTTAAACGTTTTATATTATGTTTAATTAATACGTTTACATTATCGCACCACTATATTATACACTATCGGTTTTCTTGAATACGCTCGGTGTTTTATGGATCCATACATCAAAAGGGAAAACGGAACTCAAAGAAAATCACTCGTCTCTCACACCCTATTATTTCGAATACATTAACCGAAAATGATTGAGAAATCGAAAATTTAACAGAAATCCTAAAATAATACAGCGTAAATAAAGAAAATTTTGTGGGTTTATTTTGGGGATCATACTAAAAATTAAAAAATGAAGATAATAATCAATTTACATATTACATATGCCAAATGATAAATCTCATAGTCCCTAATATTATATATAGATAAATTACATTCCTTATCTCGTCCCTGTCGACTTTCACAATAGGTAAGCAAAACTTCGCTCATTACGAGAAAACTAAAATGAAAAGCTTATGAGTTTAAATTTCTTCAAAACGTATGCATGTATAAAATCCTTTATAACACGAGTAAGTGAAAGTAGTTTTAGTAAAATAAAAGAATTATTTTCCAAATAAACTTCTTTACATTCTTATCCTTTATATCATTATCTTCAAACAATTTTTTCAGTAGCTATTTATAACAATACACTGACAAAATTTTAGCTCTGCAAATCCAGCGGTAGTTTGGGCATTGATAAATGAATCAGTACAAACTTTTGATTTAATATTAATAAAAACTAACCTAGCTTAAAATGTATACATTTTATCCAAAAATATATATTATAGTAAATAAATACCTCTTTCAATTTAGGAAATGACATATTTTTGAAATCTTCCACTGTAGATTTTTCAAAAGGCATAACCTTCAGATCGCCAACAACTACGGTACAGTTCTGCAATTTCTTTACCTTGTACATGTAATTCAAATGCATATTGAAGCAAAATCCATGATATTCTGTAGGCCAATTGAGAGTGAACGATAGGTTAACGAGTGTGCTGCAAATTATCCTGTGAAAGGCAAAAAATATTACGTTACTAAAAAATATATATATCTGAGAGAAATTTTCTTTTATGTACTGCTTCGGTACTTATCGGGTTTTCAGACTGAAATACTATATTTATTGCCTACTCTCATTAAAGATCAGATCTGAGCTACTTTTTATGGTGTGTTGAGCGGTAGCTCCACCCATGTGCATGCTTAAATATAAGACTTTTGTGTAACTGGAAATAAAACTGTTATGGCATATTTAAACGTATTAATGATAATTTCAAATTAGCATAATATTTCTTATATATTTTATTCTAATAGGTACCTATATTTTTTTAGATTCCTACTTTTAAACGATTGTACACAGTCATCTTATGTAAGCCCATGGAAACCACTGCTTATATAAAAAAGACTGTCAATGTTCTGATTCACAGACAGTCCGGGTTTACAAAATTTAATTTTTAGTCCACTAAACAATATTTTTTTAGTTTTTTTATACTATGAGAAACGGTAATAGCTTGTAAAATCAAGTGAGTGAATAAGAATAATATTGTGAGGAAACCTGGATATGTAAGAGAACTTAACTAGTTTTGAAAAACGTATGAAGTTCACAACCACACCTATCGCTTGCATTTTAGTCCACTGCCCAAAAACTGCTCAAATAAGACCATAGTCCACCACTGGTGGATTATGGAAGACCATAATCCAACTTAATGCATTGGTGATAAGAATCACCAATGCATTAAATGGCATGACCAGCAAGGCAACTTAATTAAGAGATAATAATATATCATAATAAGCCAGTGGTAGCCCAGTCTAACGCGGTCGTTTGGGAAACCGAGTGTCTAAGTAATCCCCGGTCGCGCAACTATGATATTTTCATGTACGAATCATTTCAAAACATGACCACCATTTGTCTTACAGTGCAGTAAAACATCGTAAAGAAATCTACATGTCTGAGAACCTAGCAAGTTTTCGAAAGACACATGCAATCCGCCAACCCGCGCTTGGACAGCGTGGTGGACTATAACGTGATCCCCCTCGTATGGTAGGGAGACCCGTACCTAGCACTAGGACGTTAAAAAGTTCTGAATACAAATATGTATGTATATCATATTATTATAGGACAGATTACGTTAAAACAAAATAGCATCATAATAAACCGAATAAATTAATAAGTTATCGTAACAATTTCCGAGAATCATATAAGGATTAATATCAAAAAGGAAATTATGGCCTTGTCCACGAATTTCTGCCGATGTACCGCTAGATAGAGAAAAAATACTTATCTATATTTAAAATATGATACTTCATTATATTTTATAATAATACACATCTAAACTAATATTATAATGAAGAAAGATTTTCTCGTTTACTTGAACCAAATAAGCTCCGAAACTACTGAACCGATTTAGATGAATATTGGTAAGAAAAGTTTGAGACTCTGGAAAGAAGAAAAATAGTTTTTATTTCGGAAATCATCCCTTAAGGGGGTAAGAGATTGTATGGAGCAACCTAGGGACGAACCCGAGCGAAGCGAGGGTGAGTCATTAATAATGTCTATTAAACAAATTTATTCAAATTTATTATTTATTGTTTTAAACACTACTTCATAAAATAATTACAATAAACTATCCATGAAATTAACCAATATCTTTATACGTACGGATAAACAGTTGGTACAACTAGTTGGTACAACATTTATTTCAATTTTTAAAATTATTTTTCTTAAAATTTATTCATTTTTTCTAAAATTCGGTTTTCGTTTGTCATCTTGTCTTAAAAAGCTAGTAATTTCTTTATGTAAATGGGTAATTTCGGAAATAAACTGAATTAATTTTAATTGTTTCAATAATACAAAACACAGGCTATTTTTATCCATGAAATAAGCGAGCATGCGAAAACAAAAAAATTACATTAGATAAAAAAGGTAGTAACGGATATCAAACTCATTGGTCTCTCACATACTTGTTTTATGCCTGCTGATAAATTCTTATACACAATGGAAATGTTGCCTTATTATAATAAGAAAATAGGTCACAAGTATTTAAAATACTGAAGAAAGCTTTATTCAGTTTACTGCGAGCTTACTCTTGACAAATATTAATTTAAAATATACGAAACTTAATTCCAAATTGAAATCAACTTCGAAGTATTTTAATTGACGCTCACAATTAAAATTTTCAATAAATTCATTTAATTGTCTGAGTTATATGTAGGAAATGTACAGAAACGCTACCAGAAGCAGGTCCATGGATAATGTCTATTTAACCAATTTTCAACCTTAACGACGCCGAATTCGAACAATTTAATTTTTTTGAGAAAACACACGTGTTTCTATTCTACAAATCGCTAACTTTCCACTTAACCCGACCCAGGACTCGAACTAAACGAACCTCGACGGTCCTGGGTTTGAGTCCCGAAGTCCCGAAGTAGAGGAGAAAAAACTCACCACTAGACCAAAAAAGAAACTGAAAGATCGCATTGAAATTAGCATTTAAATACGAAAAGCAACTTACATTTACAAAGTAAATTGAAAAATAAAAGGAAGTAAAAGTCGATTTTTATATTACAACCTACAAAAGGACAATATTGTTTGCTTTAAAAAATCATGAGTTCAATTTTCTGCTGTAATTAAACGCTGGTTAGTATCTTCTGCTCAAACTCTGGATCACTGCCAAAACGCCAGTTCTATGTTAATGACTTAACACTTAAATTTTTAAATTAAGTATTGTCGGCTCTTTCACCATTAAAAAAATAATTGTCATTTATAAAAAAAACACAAATAGGCACACACATTAGTGTTCTATACATATAATAAAACTGTAGAGGTCGAATGTCTGTACATAGAAAAAAAATGCTAAAAACCGGGTCAGGGGGATGTAAGAAGAGAAATAGAACAAATCCAGATTTTTGTTCAATTTTTTGTTTCTCTGTCTGTTTTTCTGTTTGTACGGACTAATCTCCGAAACTGTTGAACCGATTTAAATGAAATTTTGCATGGTGGTACCTTAATATATCTCCGGTCAACATTTTAGATATTTTTCATCCCGGAAAATTGAATAGTTCCCGTGGGATAGTCAAAAAACTTTAATAACTTATACAGCTTAGTACACAATAACTTATGCACCTAATTTAGTAAAATTTAGCATCCTGATACCTTATATTGTCGGTCAAACAACAGGTTACTTTTTATCCCGGTAAAATAAATAGTTCCGTGACGGACGTCCGGACGGTTTGTGCTGTTCTAGAGGCGACTGGCGAACCCAAGCCAAGTGAGGGTGAGCCGCTAGTTAGTGTAATAATTGTATTGTATAGATCCCTTTTTTAACTGGGCATGAGACTCCCTTCAATAAGAGAGATTGTGGTCCACCATGCTGGCCAAATGCGGGTAGGCGGATTTCATATGTCTTTCGAAATCTTGCTAGGTTCTCTCAGACGTGCAGGATTCCTCACGATGTTTTCCTTTACAGTAAGACAAGTGATAATCACGTTTAAGATAAAAATATATAAGTGTAATAATTACCAAGTCAAGAATGTTTTCGCCATTTCACTTTCAGCTTTTTAATTCCAAACCTCTTATATTTCTTCTGTTTGCGAACTATTGGACGCTTTTTGAAGAGGAGTCCAAAAATTCTCAAATATAATCTAGTACTTTGAAAACACATAGCTTGAAGCAAGTTTCATTTGGAATACTTGTGATATTATAATTGATTAAATAGAGCACATGTTATAAAATACCGTCCATAAAAGTGGCCACTTAGTCTGAATAATTTTATTTAATGTTTTTTTACATTAGTCATGAAAGTGTAATAATTTTATTTTGTTTTACAAAACTATAGCAATGTATAGAAGTCAGTTAAAAATAAATGCAATTTACATATTATAACTTGTGCAAAATGCTGTACTCACTACCATTGCTGGGATTAATTAAAAGTCCTTTGTATTTAAAGAGTTCAATAAAAAAAAAGACTTATTATGTTCCCGAGAAAATATGTATGTATATTATAAACACTAAACAAACTTACTTTTATAGCAATTCATAAAAAAATGTAGAATGAATTTTACAGAAGGATAAAAGAATAACAGCTTTTCCAAACTAAGTGTTAATTTTGCTAGCATCTAGAAAGTTCTATATAAATTATAATGTACGCACTACGCACTACTATAAGTTACAACTATAAGGAAAATTTACAAATTATATATTGTTATCGCCTTGCTTCTAGTACTCAAGCCACTGTACACTACAGACTGACCGGTGCAAATTATTTAATTATGCCCCAGTAGATTCGATAGGCTCCTAATTTAGGAGCTCGATCTCAAAAGGTCATTGATATACAGGATGACGTGTTCTGATATTTTTTAATGAAATATATAAATATTTTTATAATGTAGTACATATTATTACATGAACCAAATATTTAATGTAAGAAATAATACAATAATATTTTTATTTATTACAAATACTTAAACATAAAAAACCTCGCATATAATGTAGAATATTTACTGCGCTCCATACTGATTTAGGTGTTATTTTAAAAATTCTAAATATAATACTTTAGAAAGACCTATGCTGTCTACATAGAGTTGTAAAAGTCAAATTAGGATTAAATAATAAATCCACTTTTCTTAGAAAATGTCTAGACGTTATAATACCGAAAAATGTTATAAAAATTCTTTACATCTACAGACTTGAAACCTTCTTAAAATATAATAAAAACTATATAGGTACATATAAATAATACTAGTTTTTACTAGCGACTCTACACTTATTACAGTACATAAATTAAAAGTAAGCTATGTATGCTATATATATATATATATATATATATATATATATATAAAGCTATGTCTGTATGTATAGCTATGTATGTAATTAAGGATAAAATCAAAACAAAATATACTTTATTCAAATACACTTTTACAAGCACTTTTGATTCGACACTTTGTACATTTTTAAAATTTAAATTAAAAATCAGAATGTAAGTCCGTGAGGAATCTACCACCGGCTAAAAAGGCAGTTTTGCTGAGAAGAGCCGGCGAGAAACTCAATAGTTGCTCTTTTAAAATAATATTTGTGTACAATATTGCATTACAACAATTTTATAGATAATATATATTTATCCTACGTGAGACCCAACCAGACATTAGTCCATTGAGATCTACAAAGTATTCCGTGATGGTTCCGTGATGGAGCTTTATTCAATAATCCATACTAATATTATAAATGTGAAAGTGTGTTTGTTTGTCTTTCTTTAACGTCGAAACGGAGTGACGGATTGGCGTAATTTTTGGTATGGAGATAGTCGGAGAGCTGGAGAGTGACATCGGCTACTTTTTATTGCGGGAGATCATCTCATTCCTACGGGAAAACACGTTACAAATGAATTTAACCCAAAAAATATTTATGATCAGAATTACTTGAAACTTGGTATTAATACTCTTCAATATAATTAAATATATACGTCTTTTAGAATTTTTCGAAATTCATCCCATAAGGAGGTAAACTCCCTTTTTACCTCCTTATGGGATGAATTTCAACAAACAGAAGTTTGTATGAAACCTACTTTTAAAATGAAACAATACGTACGGACGGACAACGACTTGGCGTGATTTTTTGTATGGAGATAGTCGGAGAGCTGGATATTTTTTATCGTAGGAAATCATCTCATTCCCACGGGAAAACATGTTATAATATGACCAAAAAAATTCATTACATATGATCAGAATTACTTGAAAATTTGTATTAATGCTCTTCAATACAATTAAATAAATACGTGTTTTAGCGTTTTTCGAAATTCATCCTATAAGGGGATAAAATAGGGGTCAAAAATTTGTATGAAACCTATGTATATACGTTACCTTTTAATTCAATTAAATAAACACGTGTTTTAAGATTTTTGTAATTCATCCCGTAAGGGGATAAAATAGGTGGTAAATTTGGTAAAAAAATCCGCCATGCTTATTGTTAAAATTAAGTATTCAAGATAAAAAATAAGCAATACGGGTTATCAATCAGATTATTCGAAATTCATCCCTTGAAAGGTTAAAAATATTAGGTATAAGGGTCGAGTTGACTGAAAAATAGCATTAAAGCTATTGACGATTAATTAATGAAACCGTTAAATGCTTAAAAAAGGTTTTTTTTATTAATATAATTTTTGGCCAAATTAAAAAGGAATCGCGGGATTATATTAGCCGTGGCCTCATCTTGAAATGGTACTACACTTTTATAATGTGGTAAAACGGCTTACACTACGACTAAACTCCCGCTCAATATCACCCGAGTTGAATTCTGCATACGAATGTAAATAATATATAATATAATAAATAGCTCAAGTTCTCTGAAAGTGCTCACTTACTGAGTGAGATATAAAATAGAGAACGGAGATTTTTCCGAATTCCAGGAAAAATTATGACAAATTCTCGGCTGGCCACAGCAGTGACAACTATAACAGACCTAGAACACGCAAGAGAGAAAACCTAACTATAGTGTATCCGGTATTTATATACCGGAAAGGAATTATTGGCTTGGTCTTGTGAACGTGCTACACTGAGCCCCAAAACCAACAGTGCTACTGCTTTTAATAAAATCTCGCTAAGGTTTTTTGAAGGGTCAGAAATAGAATATAGGTCTATCGATTCAGTGATATAAATGGATGAAACATGTTGTCGTTCCCTAACAGTGCTAACCCACCAAGACTACTTTTCTCTTTTCTCATAAAATCCTTCTGAAGGTTGGCACACCCATAATGAATAAGCCATCTAAACTGTGTAACGGGACTAGACTGCAAGTTATCCATAAAACGCTATAGTGGCCACTGTGTTTGCTGGACGTGCTTGGAGTCGGGGGGAATCAGTATTCATACCTCGAATACCACTGATAACCTATGACTACGCCTTTGAATTAAATGTATTGTTATTGCTAATTTAAGTTCATCAGTTGTTACAAGTAGCAAGCATAGATTTAAGATAGGATTGCTTCTCCTATGGTATTTTTGCAGAAGGCAGAACCAGACTGAGTAGCGGCCAATGTGGTATACAAAGATCTTAATCAAATACTAACTGCCTGTTCGCGATTTTTTACCGTAGACTAATTTAAGTAATTCTAGAGTGATTACATAAATGTACATATCTTCTTCTCCCTACCCATTTCCCAATCACTTGGGGTCGACGCAGTACATGTTCTGTACTGCTGATAAGATTTGGCAAAAGTTTTACGACCGGCCGCCTGCCTGATGTCAACCCTCCTTGGGAAATGAGAAAAAAAACAAAAATATACACATAATATTAGAAATTCAATTTGGCAATATATAAATTCAATGGAAATTAAAACTGAGATTTTTTGACTTCATACGAGTGAAGCCGCGAAAGTTATAAAAAAATTAATAATGGCACTTTGTATTTTATGTAACTGAGGATTCAACTAAAAAAAAGGCTGAGACTGTAAGTTTTAGGTTTATACATAGTGTATTTAAAAATAACGTTAGCCTGTTAGTTAAAAAGGTCATATTAGCCGAGTTACATGATTCTAAAATCGTAAACATTGTATGCGAGTTATATCATTGTACTCTCTTCCTCTAAATTTGGAAAGATGGAGTAGAAAAATGTGCCATACATAGAGATAGTGGAATTTGCTAACTATTTTAAACGAATATTAATGTACAGAATTTACGTTAAATATCTTTTAAGATACTGAATATATTAAATTTGTTTTCCATAATATATTTATGAAACATGAGCTCATTTGTGCAAGTAATAAGTATAGTTTTGTGAAAACGTAAAAAAATTTTTTTGTGTGTAAATAATAAAGATATTAGTAAAAACAACACAGTATCTTAATTTTATATTCATTAAATACCCTTAGTTTGAAAAGAAATAATCCAGAACTGGCGAAATACACTTAGCTGGACTAAAATTATTATCTTATTTTTTATACAATTAAAATATAATACTCGAATTATTTTTGTTTGTCTTTATATTTAACGCTACGACAGAGCTATGACTCATCTCTAATTTGCTTAGAAATTGTGGCTTTTTACTGTATTTAATAGTTTTCGAATTATTTTAGCTTATTTTCAAATTAATATTATCAGTAGTGTGACTAAAACAGTTCCTAATAATTTTTAATTTATTTCACCAATGCTAACGTTAAGTGATAAATCATAAAACACAACAAGGAAATTAAAAAAAAACACAAATTATATTGTGTAAGTGGCCTTAGAAAAAAATAAACTTGTAATTTTTTTTTTACTGATTTACATATTACACATTTATAAATAGACAGAATTAATATTTAATACATACCTAAGAAACGTTATAAACAATTTTTAAGCAAATACATTTCCGTTAAGGTTGAAACTTGAAAGAATGGCTGTTAATGAAAAGTTCTTCTTAATAGATATTATACCTTTATTGAAGTGATAATAACATCATAACTTTCGTTATATTATGCTTAAAGCGTCCTATATAAAATTTCGTGGAGTTGAGTGGTAATAAAACAGCCTGTATAAGGGGACCTGCGGGTCAAGTGGACTTAACAAGTAATA